TTTAAGCCACCGGGTCCGGGACACGAACTGTAGTCGACTACGTGGGAGTCCAGAGACACAGCCATTACGCTAACTGCTGATTCCCTCGAGCGTTGTTTTCATATTCGGAATCTAGTGAACACACGGAGTCTAAATTTAAAGTATCGTCTAAGCCATTGTCCCCGACTTGAGCTAGAGGAAGACCTGCAGTCAGTATGACAAGAGCGCGTCTGGTGACAACTGTGGAGCGTGGATTTCTCAGGCAGGTACTGTGCATAATGTCCCTTCAGAGTTACTGTAAAGTTCCAAACACAGGCTAGCGGGGGGCAAGAGAAAAACGAAAGTGACTCGTTTTTAAAAACTCCTATGGCTCGACATATCTCGTCATTTGTACCCATTAAGAATAAATCGCAGGCAGTTAACGACAAAAGTACACCTGTCCATCAAGCGCGCTGGGCTTTGCGTTTCCCAGCACCATGTCCCTAAAGCATCCAGCAGATGGCGCTCTAGGACACCTCCTTGCAGACAAGTGACCCTGTCTGCATCACACCCACCCACAGGGTAGCCAGACAAAGAATGAGGATTCATCAGTCGCTTCAGTGAAACAAGTAGGCGTTCTGATAGAAAGGACATAATTCCTAAATGCGTGCGCAAAAATATACATATGCATAAGCACAAGTGCGCAGTGGGCCCCGGCAGATAACTCACACCTGGACAGATCATGATTCCACTTGGCTTACAGACCTGATGTGCAGGTCTACGTGGATATGCGTGGTATTTACGGTCATACGGCAAGATCATTCTCAATTCATTAAAAAAAAAGAAATTTAGAATGCGTTAAAGTTAGAACTCATTTTTAATTATAGCAGGAATGTCTCGTGATACTAGTGAAATTAACAACAGTGGGATTTACGGTAACGACTTACGTGATTGATGGGAAGTTTTAGACAGAGAAAACGCAGGGTAGCTATGGCATCAGTACATGAACAGCCAGCTCTGCGGTCTGTTAGTGCCGGCCTCGTGGTTAATAAAACCTTCTTTCTAATTAACGGTGCTGAAATATTCTTAAAGAACAAAATCTTGTTGTTATGAGAAAAAAAAAAACAATCTGGAAGTTTTTTTTTTTTTTTTTCCTTTCAGTAGACGCCATTCCCATAAAGGAGAAAGCTGACATAGATTAGCATGTCTGATTGCAAAGGGGGGGGGGGGCACGGAATATGCCACCTTTCAATCAAATCAAAACCAGAACGCAAGAATGGAAAACTACTTCAGTGAAATACTACACACACAAATCTACGTAACACCTTCATGGTCGGCAATGATTTGCTTCTAAAGCTGATCAACTGTGGCTTCCAAAAGAATGACTCAGATACCTGAAAATACCTACGCATTTAATTACTTAAATACAAGTTCACGGTGTCTTAATATAAACTAAAAATAGCGAATAAGTAATAACTGTTCAGTAGGTTTTCAACTTGCTTGTCTTAAATGAAACCAGGCCAAACTTTTCAGTGCTTGAAAACCAACTTGAGTGGACTGCAGAACATTTTCTTCAACATGTGGAAATGTGCAGTCTCGGTAGCGTTATTTGGAAGAGAGAATGAATGTGAGCATTCTCTTCCGTGGACAAGATTTAGTTTAGAAAACACAAGGGGGGAACAGGGCCAAAGGGTATGCCAAGCCTTCGTGTAGAAACCATCTTTCACGGAAATGTTCGTTAATTTTACAGAAAAGCATCCACAACTAAATGGAATCCTCCTTTTTCCTCCCCTCGTGAAAGCTGCATTCTTCAGGAGTTAACTACCACAGGACAACAGAGTAAAAGGTGAAAAACAAAACAAAACAAAAAAAACTATCCGACAGACAGGGAAATGAGTCTTTGCTATGTAATCTAGACAGGTTTCATAAAATATCTTTTAAAAAAATCCTCAAATTAGACTACTTATAGGTTTTTACTCCCGTTTTCATTAGCCTGCTTTTACCTGGAATGTGCATACTGACATGGGCTAACATGATTATTTAAATAAAATAATAATTACACAGCTACCGACGTTCCCTATGGCACCGATGTTGGTTTTATTTCACTTGTCTACTTCCCATCAAAGAAAGAAAAAGTCCGAAATCAACAATTTTAAGTGGAGGCATCGTATATATTTATAGGCCGTAGGGCAATGCTATGTCTATCAAAGCCCAACCACGTCTGAAAGCCCATTTTCCCGGCATCTAAGAGATACTCCACAGACGAGCACCACCGAAGCCCTCCTCTGAAAAGCTCCGACTTCGGAGGCTGCGTGGACGGGCCCTGGGTTGAGCCGGAGCTCCTGCGACCCCAACCAGCTTGCAGGAAGATGTTGGGCCGTTCGCACAGTCATGACGCCCTTGCTTTTGTTTATCGTTTGTTTCTGAAACGCTGCGTCTGTCTTTTTCCACTTTTCGATTCTAATGTGTGTAAATGCCCATTTGTCTTTCTCCTGGATCCATCCTTCAAAGCGGAAGCAAAATTAAATTGGGACATCAGACGGTATAAGAGGGCTAGCAAGGACAAGGTTCGCTTTAGGAAGGGTAATTTAATTTAGTCAAGATACATTACGGTTTTCTGAAATTTGTTTTAGGTAGGCTGTTAGGCTATTCTTTTTTTTTTTTTTTTCTTTCTTTCTTTTTCTTTTTCATTACCAGCATCGCTAGGAGCTAATGCCCAGCCTAGTGCAGACAATGAGAGGGTCTAGACGAAGTGCTTTATGAAAAATATAACACGATAGTGTGTACTCGAGGCCGACAAGATGGTGTCTGTGTGGTGATTTATTCGCTCTGAGCATCTTGCACTTCTGATAACACCTTAAGTCTGTCACTGTTGTTGCATTCATTTCAGACCAGACAGGGGGACCACAGCAAAGCCTGGAACTTGGATTTTTTTTTTTTTTAAACTATAAACCCCAGGATTTGGTTGATCCTATTTGATTCATTTTTGAAAAGATGTGCATTTAAAAACCATTTCTAGGGTGATTTATAAGGTATTTAAATATATGAAAGTATATTTAAGGATATACCTTTATCATGGTGTGTATGTGTGTGTGTGTGTGTGTGTGTGTGTATGTGTGTGTGTAAAATTTTCTTCTGGAGAAGCTAAAACTTACTACTTTTAAAATATACTTAAATTTCCTAAAGGCAACAGCAATTATATAAAAATGTAGCTAATAAGCCTTCCATTGCTTCTCAGACTACACATTGATCATAATTATATGTAACATATAGACACAATGAAGTCAACTAAGAAAAAAACAAACATAAACCCAGATACCCAGATATGTGTGTTTAAATTGCCACACGAGTATGAAATGTATTACATTGTTTTAAGGCAAGAAAAAGTTCTTCTTAAATATTTTGAGATAAATAACAAAACGGTAGATTTATTACCTATGTCAAATCTAGATCTGCGGAGGAAATTTAGTGAATCTCAGTGACTGGATTTATAGAAACAGGAAAAAAAGAAATCGAAAGTAGTCACTTAACCTAAGAAGCCGGAAAGGAAGAAGGACCGGGATGTCAGCGTCCATAATGAAAATAACAAGAAATACTTTTCAAAAGAGTATGGCAAACAAACTCCCTGAAATCTACAGCTTTAAAAACGTTATTGCAATTATATATAAAACGGAGATGTCTCTGGACGTATTGAGTTGTCAAAAGTCATGACATGCTTTTGCATACAAACACATGAAAAAAAAAATGCATCATGACTTTTCCGACAACCCAATACATGAAACACACACACACATGTACACAGTCTCCTCGCAAATACACATACATGCTACCATTTGATCTGACCACAAAGACTGTATTATCCATAGCATCATAACCTTAGAATGATTTCCATAGTCTGTTTACGCAGGAAACAAAGTCTACAATGTGTGTAAGACGAAGAAACAGCTTTGAAAACTATTCTGTGTAGACTTCTTTTAAAATTGTGCAAGGCTTTGACTAAGTCTTTTGAAAAAGAGATTTTGTATTCATGCAAATTGTAAACGTTTGAGCAGAGCTTGGGGAAGTCAATCCGAAATATGACGGGTGCGAACATATTCCAACTGCTTCATAATCTGGGCCTGAGCGACAGGAGTGAATGCCACAGGATCCGGGTAATCGGGCGCAAGGCAATCCCCTCCACAACCAAACGCACTGCAACTTGCTTTAAATTAAGAAACTGTAAATATTTAAGAGCAGCTAAAAGGCTCTACCTTATGAGGTAAAAACCTAAAGCTATGCTTGCAGGAACTCTTCAGGGTTGTCATAATCATTTTAATTAAATTCTCATTTTTCAGGTGGTCCCTTTAATTGTTTTCTCCTACTTCTTAATGTGTTTTTCTAAAGCCATTTCTTTCCTGCAGCTGTGTACGATTGGTTTTAATGGGAGCTGCTTCCTTTTTTTTTTTTTTTTTTTGCCTTCTGTGAATTACAATTTTAAATGATTACACATTTTTTGTTTTACTGCCTTCAGCGTAGTTTCATAAAGATGTTTAAGGCTGTTGGTGAACATTTTCATTTCCCATCTGAAAACGCAAGAGCCAATTTAAATATTCCATATTGGCCTTTTATGACCTGCTTTATCCTTTAGTATGTAAATGAAAGCATCACTTTATAAAGATGGGTTTGTTTCCAGGAAAGTATAATTTTTATTTTGCTTTTGAAAAATACGAATTTGATAAACAAGATAATAGGTGATTATTCTGTCATGTTATACCATATTGTTCACAAATAAAACACCTTTATTTGGCAACAGTCATGAAGGACTAGTATTTTTGGATCCTAAGAATAACCTGTAATTTATAAAACATGAGATTTCATGTCTGAATTTTAATCAGTGGTCACAAAATATGAATAAGGGGACCCTCTAGGTCTTTCTTACAACTAAGACATTAAAATTACTTGATAATTGAGTTAACAATCACCACAATACAAAGGTAATTTGATGGCAAAATGCTATTCTACATTGCTTGCATAATTTTACTTAAAAAATAGCTTGTACTTACTGCCTGGGTTATCTCCGATGCCACTGCTTTTCCCGTTCCAGTACCACAGCAGAAGGGTGGCATCACGTGACCCTGACAGAACGTAGCAATTTCCCCCAATGTAGGACTCAGAACGAGTGAGGCAAGTGACAACGTCCCAGTGGCCAAACACCACCTGCATCAATTTTCCTGAAATACAAAACAATTTTGCTTTAACATTCCTGTTAGAAAATAAAAACAAATTTCTATGGAACAGGAATGTACCACAAGGATGCCTTCTTCACTCCGATTCTGATCATTCAGATCGAATAGTCATGTGTGTGACCTGGTCTAACCTAGGTCTTCTTTGAATACTAACAACAACAACAAAAAATCCATTCGAGAGTGATCATCATATACTTGAAAAGCATATGTTAAAACTATTTCAATGAGTGGTATTTGAGGAGCGTGATCCCATATGGTTATAAATGGCTAGTCTAAATTACAAATAGATCATGTTTACTGATTAAAGCAGGCCCAGGAGAACCCCTATGGGGAACCACTTTAACACTTTCTCGAATTACTCCATAGGATTCAAAATAAAACTTAGTTGCCATTCTGGAAAAGTCCACTGTAATTCAGACATCACTAACACAGACCCAACTCTGAATGCTCGAGTTCATGGCTTTCCTTCTCTTGCTCTCTCTCTCTCTCAAAGTGATCTACACAAGGACAATATAAATCTCTTTAGAGAGCTTCTGCTTTTTCAAATCAGGATGACATGGACTACATTTGGAGGAAATGACTCATCTGTTTTGATTGCACTTTGAGCCAGGTCATTCTTTCTTTGTTTTAATGGTCTGAACAAGGAAAATTCCTTGAGGAGGTAATGGTGAAATCAAGATTATGGTGGTTGAATGGTGACGACCAGGAGAGCGGAGAGGAACCAAGTAAACTTACTACAGGAGAGCCTAGATAATCAGTGGCAACCCCTTCATGCTATCCCAATAGCTATGTTTCCTTTGATATGTATACAGAATATGCAAACGAATGTCCTAGGAATGCACAGCCTTCATATTCAGCATGGCTTGCTTTCCTTCTTTTTTCTTAAGGGAGATTTTTGCTATAGGTGTATGTATTAGTCAGAGAAACAGAGAGAGACAGAAAGCAAGAAATCACCCCCCACTGGGGATGACCACACCGCAATCCCTTCTCCTCCATTCTCCTCTTGGGATCTTGGGCACGCACGCACACGCGCCCAGTGTGAGTTTTTAAGCTGCCAAGTCCAGAACTCCAACTGCAGTCGACTACGTGGGAGTCCAGTGACAAAACCATCACACCATCTGCTGGTCCGACTTTCTTTTTATTTTTTTTTAAGGATAATTTATTTAACTTGATTCATCATTATCATTATTTTTAATTTGCTATAGGGCACACCATGTGGGAGTCCAGTTCAACCACCATGCCACCTGCTGGCCTTTTTATTTATTTTTTTTTAAATAAATGTTACAGGGAGGTCATCAAAATATAATTTGAATATTCAAGACAAAAGACTAAGTTAAAAAAATGAATATGCCTAAAAAACTTGTGTGTCGGAATACACTATAAGCTATTTGAAAGCTTAAGGCCTCGTTTAGGAACTGACTGGCATTGAAGTGTATTTAACCTTTCATGATAATAATAAATAGAACTAAGAAAAGATTTATATAGTATTTTTTAAATTGCTGATTTGCTTTTTTTTTGAGAGGTTTTTGCTATAGGGCGCGTGCGCTCGCCAGACAGACAGAGAGAGACATAGAGACGGAAAGCGAGAAATCACCCCCCAGGGGGGATGGTCACGCCGCAATCCATTCTCCACCATTCTCCTCTGGGGATCTTGGGCACGCCCGCATATGTGCCCGGCGTGAGTTCTAAGCCACCAAGTCCGGGATGCGAACCGCGGTCAACTACGTGGGAATCCAGCGACATAGCCATTACGCTAACTGCTGGTTCCCTTAAATTCCTGATTTTTATAAATCTGAGAGTTGTTATAAAAGCTGTAAATTTAGAAGTAAACATGTAAACCTACTTTAAAGTGGCTGGAAGATCAAACGCATGATTCCACTCCTAGGTGGCAGTCTTGCAAACAGCCTACTACGAGCAGCTATAAACTCGGACTCATTTCAAATTCATAAAGTACATTTTTTCCTCTTGTAATTAAAGGGGACAAAAACTTCAGTCAAAGCAGGTGGTTTAACTGCTAAATGTTCAAGATGTTTACTTCTGAATTTCTTCAACCTTTAAAATTGACACCAAAACATTCGCTTGAAAAATTAGCTCATATCAAGGCGGCAGGTGGTATGGCGATGAAGAGCACAGACCTCCCACATGGCTGACCACGGTTCGAATCCCAAACCTGGTGGCTTGCTCTCTCTCTCTGCTCAAATTAAAATAATAATAATAATAAACTTAAATAATACACATAAAGAAAAATTAGTTCATATCAATAAAGAATATAGTAAGAATTCCAGACTTTCTAGAATTAAATTTTTTTAAAATGAAGAGCAAATTAAATACGAAAAATATAATAATTTTCATTTAATTCCCAATTTATGAGAAGAACAGAGTAGAGAGGTTAGGGTTAGATTACAACGGAGAAGGCAAGTAGGTAGCTGAGTGTACTCAATAATTAGAAAATGGAAGGTTGAAATCAGCAGAGAACAACTGAAAGAGACTGAACACACATTACTGCAATTTTTTTTAATTTATAATTTTAAAAATTTAATTTTATTTATCATTGTTGTTATTATTTTTTGAATTTGCTATTGGCCATACATGCTCACCAGAGAGAGAGAAAGTGAGAAAGCAAGCTGCCATGACCAGGACTCGAACCACAGTCAACCAAGTGGGAGTCCAACACCTTAACCACCACACCTACTTGCCCCAGCAATTACGTTTTTTGATCATAGGGTGTGCACAATGATGCTGCTTTGGCCTACACGTAAATGCTACAAGCATGTGACCTACAGGAGGGATTTAAGTAGGCTATTCACAGGCAGGCTTACTGGTGGCCCAATGAGCTGTGGCTTGAGGAGGAGGGGGTAACGAACTACAGCTAACTAAGTACCCGAGGTAGATGGCGCCTACCCTAGAGGGTATTAGGGGGCTTGCAAAAGCAGATACTCACTTGGTAACTTAATTTCCAACTCAGGTGAGGACCCAGTGGAAAGTCTTAGTGGTCAAAGTAGGCTGGATTAACCTCAGAGGCAGGACTGGCCAAGACCCACACTTCATTTCTCACTTCTTACTATGTGCTGTTTCTCAAGGTTAGTGCCAGCAAAACGGACACTCAATCACTGTGGCTTCTTGTTGAACTAAAATTTCCTGGTGTTTTCATTTTTACCCTCAAAGTTCACAGTCATGTGCATGCAACATGTATTTACTGAGCACCTACTAAGAGCCAAGCATCGGACCTTCTGCATGTGAATGGTGAACAGACACGGTGCCTGCCCTCACAACATTCACTTCAAGTGGGGCAGACAGACATTAAACAAGCAAGACACATGCACGACAATCCACAGTGGTACGTGTTATAAAAGAGCAGAGCAGGGGGGCCAGCCAGCAGGTGGCATGGGGAAGGCACTGGACCCCCACCATGGTTCAAGTCCTGGACCTGGTGGCTTGCTTTTGCGCTCTCTCTTCCTCTCTCTCTCTCTCTCTCTGTCTCTCTCTGGTGAGAGCATGTGTCCTATAGCAAATTAAAAAAATAATAATAACGCTGATAAATGAAATTAAATAAATAATTATTTAAAAAAAAACATAGCAGCTAGGATCAGTAAAAATAACAAGGCAGAATAAATTTAGATTGGACATCAGGAAAGATCTAAACGAGAGAGCAATCTTTAGTTGCCGCAAAAGGGTTTCATCTTTTAATACAAATGAACTCTTTTTTTTCTACAATTGATATTTCGTGCTCAACTCTGAAAAACATGATTTTCTTAAGTGTACTTTCTCCTACTCTGGCGACTTTCCTCGGCAATGTTTGTTATTGCTATGAGGTTGAGGTTCCCTCCTGAATAAATCACTGCATATAAATACCTGCTGCTCTTTCTGGTAAATTATTTTCTGATAATCTCGTAAGTGTTCCTCAACCTTTATTTTTTGTTTCCTTTAATACCAGTCCACCTCTCCACACACCAGTATCAAATATTACCACAAGCACTAGAATATCCCTTTTTTGACAGAACAAATTTTCTAGTTAATGTTTTATTTGACAGCTATGCTACAAATAAAAAAAAAAAAAATCAAGCTCAGGACTCTGCACCACTGAATCTAAAATGTGGCCTGAAAATAATTCCGACTGCCGGGGGAAGGTTTTATTGTTGCCTGTGCTGTTCTGCTTGTGTCCCGAAAACATGATTTATGTTTAAAGAATTTCCTGTTACAACCCATGTTTCTCTTCCCTCCTCTCCAAATCTAATAAGAGAAGGATTTTTTTTTTTTTTTGGCTTGTGTGCTAAAATATAATTGAATTCAACACTCGTGATAGCTTTGCCATTACATATTACTGATCATACAATTTTCCCCTGGCTTCTCTGCCAAATTCAGAAGAAAATATTTAATATTATTGTCATAAAACCAGAAACATGTATTTACCCTAAATGAAGTTATTTGAAATAAAACTTGCATTAAAACTTTGTATATAAGACCATAAGAAAAATAGCAAGACTTTTCGGGGTCTTTGCCCCTACAACTTTTCTGGCAAGTATAGATATCTGTATTTTATTTATCACATCAGTCCCACTGAAATGAAGTTTAAAATAAGGCTACTTCTTATGAAAATATTTTACACATACATATTTTTTTAAGAATGATTTTTATTTAACTTTTTATTTATTACTTTCCTGTTTGATGAGAGAAGAGAGAGAGAGAGAGAGAGAGAGAGAGAGGTGGGGTGAGTGAGAAAGCGAGCCACCAGGTCCAAGACTTGAACCGTGCTTGGCGATGTGGGAGTCCAGCGCCTTTAACCACCATGCCACCTGCTGGCCCTTACACATACGTATTTTTAAAGACAGTACCTTAGAAGGTTTGTGGAATAGAGGAGAAGGAACGATACCTCGTTTAAGTCTAATGCAATATGGTGGACGTACTAGAAGCTAGTTGTTACAAATGACAAGTTTTCCAAATCAACCAATAACTGACTGGTAACATCTGTATGAGTCAACCTGGTCTAATCACAAGGAATGTTACATGCGAAGTGGGTAGAGCTAGGTCTGAGGCCCAGTTCTGTCGCCATGAGCTGTACACATTTCAACAAGTTACTTACCCGCTCCCTATCTGCAAAACCGGGTTAAGGACACCCGTGTACCTCACAGATTACTGTGAGGCTAAAACACTACTGTGAATACAAAACAATTTCGTACCTTCTAAAACACGGTGATCATAGGAATGATTTTGACTATCAGTGTTATATGAAAGTGAAGCTTTATTTTACAATTACTTAAGATTCAATGGCTTTAAAAAATAGGGAATGTCGACAAACAAAAAAATCTCAAAGGCCCAAACCAGACACTGACATGATTTAGAATTCTACTTATAGGACGTTCTGGAAAAGGCCAAACTAGAGATGAGGAGTGGATAGATCGGCAGCTGCTGCAGGTTCTGTGGGGGGGAAGGGGGTGGAAGTTCCTGCAGGAGCCCTGGGGAATCCGGGGGACTAGAGCTGCAGGGTGCCTGGTTCATGGTGGACGTGACCCAACTATGCACTGTCAACACTAGGAGAACTTCAAGCAAAGAGGAGGGAAATATCCCATGTCAATTTAAAAATAACTTTTTAATATATGTCAAAATAACTTTTTAAAAATTTGAAAAAAAAAAAAAAAAAAAAGGCAATCTAAAAGAATATCTTTAAAAATCTTGTGAGAGGGGACTGGCAAGTGCGTGGTGGTTAGAGGCATTGGATTCCCACACGGCTGACCGAGCACAGTTCGAGTCCCGGACTCGTAGCTTGCCTTCTCCCTTTCCCTTTCTTTATCTCTCTCTCTCTGGTCAAATTAAAAAATAATAATAACAAATAAAATTAAATTAAATAATTCTTTTTTTAAAAAAATCTTGTGAGAGGGTGCTAGCAAGTGTTGTGTTAGTTAAGGTGCTGAATTCCCACATGGTCAACTGTGACTTGAATCCTGGACCTGGTAACTTGGAAACCATGCTGGTATCTGTGTGTGTGTGTGTGTGTGTGTGTGTGTGTGTGTGTGCACATGTGTGTGCCCAAAATCCCAAGAGGAGAGTGAAGGAGACAGGATTGCCATACAGCCATCCCCCCAGGGGGGGTTTCTCACTTGCCCTGTCTTTCTCTGGTGTGTGCATGCGCCCTCTGGGCAAAACAAAAACAAACAAAAAAAACTTATGAGAAAAAAATGTAACAGATATTACCTGAAAGTTCATGTGAAACAAGAGTACAAAGGTCAAATAATACCAAGGTTATCATTAATATAACAGTAAAAAAGTTCAAATTTGAATCTGATGACTAATTCAGAGAATTCATTAAAAATAATGAATACATTTTAGGAAAATTTTTCAATCTCTATGGAATTTTTGAAGATGGTGGGAGAGTTTTAGGTTCAACAGTAATTGACTTCATAGACTTAATCGGCAGTCACAGCCATATTAGTCGGAAAGGCCTGATGGAGGATATTTTCTTCCCTGGACCTCCATAATAAAGATTCAAGTTTAAAGAAAACTAGACCATTACTTTCAGATAACAAAAAATAAGTAGACACATGCCTTGAAATAACTTACCATATTTATTCTAGGAATAGTACATATTAAG